CTAGGTTGCTTCTCTCCTTGCTTAGTTTCCACCCATTGCTTCTTGTCCTGCCTTCAGGCGCCTTGGAAAATAGCTTGCCTCCCTCTTCTTTGTGGCAGCCCCTGAGATATTGGAACACTGCTATCATGTCCCCCCTCGTCCTTCTCTTCATTAAACTAGACATACCCAGTTCCAGCAGCCGTTCCTTATATCCTTTAGCCTCCAGTCCCCTACTCATCTTTGTTGCTCTTCTCTGTACTCTTTCGAGAGTCTCGACATCTTTTTTACATCGTGGTGACCAAAACTGGATGCAGTATTCCAAGTGTGGCCTTACCAAGGCATTGTAAAGTGGTATTAATACTTCACGTGATCTTGATTCTATCCCTCTGTTAATGCAGCCTAGCACTGTGTTGGCCTTTTTGGCAGCTGCAGCACACTGCTGGCTCATATTTAGGTGATTGTCCACTAGGACAAGATCTGAAAGCATTCATGGCTATCTCCCCAGTCCCCAGAAAGCATATTGGTTATATGGTTTAATGGAAAAAATGATGGCATGCCATTTATCAGTTATCTTACTCCATTGAAGATTTCTTTGAACACAGAAACAATGAGTAACTACAGACAAATGCTTGGTTCTGAAGCATTTCTAGGAACCTACAAAAAAAAGAGAACTTGTTACCTCTGAATGATGAGAAAGCAGTCTGTTGAGTACCAGTGGGGCAAACTGGGATTGCTTAATGATGGGAAGAGAGACAGAACTGGGAAGAAAGTAGATAGGAAGTAGATTTGATAGGAGTAAGGTGGGAAAAAATAGTAATTAAAGAAGGCAATATATAGAGCAACCCCAGAAGGGAAGGGGGAGGGAAGTAGAGAAGGGAGTTGTCTATTTTATGTTGGATGTATGGAAAAAAAGCACCTAGAATGGGAGTATTGCATACGGTGACAGGAATACAGTGTATATGAGAGTATCTAGTAGGTTCAAAGGACTGTGGGACTTTCTGTGGAATAGATATTTGGCTACTTTTAATTATATAGCCTGTTCTTCTATCTTTCCCCAAGCTGGTAGATATCATTTTTAAATGAAATATGATTTAAATAATTGATGCCATATTTCAAAGCAGGTTTTTTCACAGCATCTTAATAACAAAGTGCTAACAAGCACTTTAATAATTAAAATCTAGCATTAACATAGGCCATCCCCTCTTGCAACTTTTCTTTAACAGTTTCAAGGATGGAATTCTGTATACAGAATAGGAACTTCTTTTTGGTCAAAAATATGAATGGGATCTCTTCAGACCAGAAAGCTGAAATTCTTGCACACCAGGCATCACATCATGCTTTTCACCTGTGCTCAATTTATTGGGCAGTTATGATTTTTATCATCCAGTAGTCAGTGTTGACTTCTAGCAACCACATAGATAGACCCTCTCCAGGATGATTTGTGGTCAAAGGTACTTTCAGATATGCAAGATTCTGTTGATGTAACTTTACCATAACTTTACCATAGAACTAATTCATCTAACCATGCTTCCTGCACAATTGTACAAGTCTAAAAGTATATTTCTCTCACATTGACTTTACAATCCAAGAAACTACTGAACGTCTCTTCAGAGATGTTTGCTATGTTCATATTCCTTTTGTGGATAAGCTGCCTTTTATCTGACTGTGGCTCTTATCCCGGTTTTCCAAGGTCATTCACACCTACTATTACAGTGTCACAGATATGGATTGAATTGTCTAGATCAGGGGCAGGCAACCCAAAATACTCAAAGAGCCACCTGGACCCATTTCCCACCGAAAACAAAACACAGGGAGCCGCAAAACCCTTTGGATATCTAAAATGAAGATAACACTGCATATATCTTTTTACCTTTATTATATATATATATAAAAGGATATTTGCAGTGTTATCTTCATTTTAGATGTCAAAAGGGTCTCTCTCTCTCTCTCTCTGTCCCTCCCTCCCTCTCCCCCTCCCTCTCCCTGCCCTTGGTCTGCCAGTCTTCTTCCCCCACTCAGTGTGTTTGTGTGTGTGTGTGTGTGTGTGTGTGAGAGAGAGAGGCACTTGCACTTCCCCCTTTCTCTCTTTCCTCTCCCTCTTTCCTCTCCCTCCCTTTCTTTCCTTTCTTCCTTTCTTCCTTTCTTTCTCCCTTCCTCTTTCTCTTTACTCTCTCCCCCTTTCCTTTCTCCCTTTCTTTCTTTCCTCTTTCCTTTTTCTTTCCTTTCCTCTTTCTTTCCTCTCTCCCCCTCTTCCTTTCTTTCCTCTCCCTTTCTCTTTTCTCTTTCTCCCTTTCTCCTTCTTTCTTTCTTTCCTCTCTCCCCTTCTCCCTCTCTTTCTTTCATCTCCCTTTCTCTTTTCTTTCTTTCTCCCTTTCTTTTACTTTCCTTTCCTCTCTCCCCCCTCCCTCTCCTTTTCTCTTTCCTCTCCCTCTTTTCTTTCTCCCTCTTTCTCTTTCCTTTCTCCCTTTCTCCTTCTTTCCTCTCCCCCTCTTCCTCCCCTTCTTTCATTTCTCTTTCTCTTTCTCCCTCTTTCTCTTTCTTTCCTTTCTTCTTTCTTTCCTCTCTCCCTCTCCCTCTTTCCTCTCCCTTTCTTTTCTTTCTCCCTCTTTCTTTCTTTCCTTTCTTTCTTTCTCTTTCTTTCCTTTCTCCCCCTCTCCCTTTCTCTTTCCTTTCTTTCTTTCTCTTTCTTTCCTCTCTCCCTTTCTCTTTCCTCTCCCTTTCTTTTCTTTCTCCCTTTCTTTCTTTCCTTTCTTTCCTCTTTCTTTCCTTTCTCCCTTTCCTCTTTCTCCTTCTTTCTCTCTTTCCTCTCTCCCCCTCTCCCTCCCCCTTTTTTCATCTCCCTTTCTCTTTTCTTTCTCCCTTTCTCTCTTTCCTCTTTTCTTTCTTTCCACTTTCTCCCTTTCTTTCCTCTTTCCTTTCTTTCCTCTCTCCCCCCCTCTCCCTCTTTATCTTTCCTCTCCCTTTCTTTTCTCTTTCTTCCTTTCCTTTTTCTCTTTCTTTCCTCTCTTTCTCTTTCCTCTCTCTTTCTCTTTCCTCTCTCTCTCCCTCTCTTTTTCTCTTCAGCTTCCCTCCCCTTTACTAATAGAACCAGTTCACCTACCAAATCGTTTAACTTCCTCCCTTAGAAATGGGCAATGTGGATTCACCACATTCTGACAAAGAGAAATCCCAGCACCTCTCATCGATTCTGCTGCAGGGATGGCAAACGCTGTATGTTAGCAATATCTGGAGAGCTACAGTTCATCCGCACCCTCCTGAAAGGCTCTCCCATCCGTTGCAATGTCACGCTTTGAAAGGCCCCTGACCCTCCTCCGCTTCAGGCTGACTGCGCCCAGCAGGGAGCCTCAGTAGCCGGCGTGGAAGGGAGGAGGGGAGGAAGAGAGACAGACCATCTCCTCGCAGCTCACTTCCAATCCCAATGTTGTGAATCCTGCTTGGGATTTGGGACTGAGAGGGGGAAGATCCTGGCTCCTAAGCTGCAGGGACTTCCAACCATAGAGCTTGCTTGCCTCTCTTCCCAGCCAGCGCCGCGCGAGCGCAAAACGACAGCAGCAAGAAAATGCTGCGGTCGAGACTTGTCCGCCTGCCTGGCTCCCGGGCCTCAGTAGCCAACCATTTGAAGCGAGCAGCCTCGTCCGTAGAGAGAGGAGAGGAGAGAGTGAGGTGGATGAGCCGAGTCTGTGGCAGGGATAACAAGGGTTCAGGAGATGCTAGCAAAGTGTTTTTGACTTACCTTGCCTCCCCCACTGGTTCTTCGCCCGAACAAGTCACCCTCTCTTTCTCTCTCTTTGCTCTGTCCCCCCCTCTCTCCAGATGAGGAGAGAGAGAGAGAGAGAGAGAGAGAGAGAACAAAAGGCAGATGGCGCTGAAGGGGCAGAGAGGGGAAGGGAGCAGGAGGCAGTAGAAGGCGCTAAAAGGCGCCTGGGACACCACGGATTGGCCCAGGAAGATGCGTGGCGAGCTCGGCTGCCTAGGGAACAGCCCGGGGATAGCCCAGGAAGCCTCCCTGCTGCCGCCCGGCCCGGCTCGGGGAGACATATGGCTGGGTCGGCTGCCCGGGGAACGGCCCGGGGACGGTGCAGGAAGCGATGCCCCCCTGCCACCTAGCCCGGTCTGGGGAGATGCGTAGCCGGCTCGCCGGCCTGGGGACGACCCAGGGAGCGATGCCCCCGCCGCAGCCGCTCCAACGAGGACTGCTGCACGGCCCAGGCAGACACGTGGTCGGCTCGGCGGCCCGGGTACGGCCCAGGGAGCGATGCCCCCGCTGCCCCAGGCAGGACTGCTGCACGGCCCAGCCCGCGGAGACACGTGGCCATCTGCTCCCCGGGGAACGGCCCGGGAATGGCCCAGGAAGCGATGTCCCCAGCCCAGCCCGGGGAGACGCATGGCCGGCTTGGTGACCTGGGGACGGCCCAGGAAGCGATGCCCCCGTCGCTGCTGCTGCGGCCCCAGCCAGGACTACTGCTCAGCCCGGCCCGCGGAGATGCGTGACCGGCTCAGCTGCCCGGGAACGGCCCAGAAAGTAATGCCCTCCTGCCACCACTGCAGCTGGGACTGCCGCCCGGCCCGGCCCGGGGAGATGCATAGTTGGCTTGACGGCCCGGGGACAGCCCAGGGAGCGATGCCGCCGCCGCCCCAGCCGGGACTGCTGCTCAGCCTGACCCGCGGAGATGCGTGGCCGGCTCAGCTGCCTGGGGACGGCCCAGGAAGCAATGCCCTCCTGCCGCCGCCCCAGCCGCCCGGCCCGGCCTGGGGAGACGCATAGCCAGCTCAGCGGCCTGGGGACGGCCCAGGGAGTGATGCCCCCACCACCCCAGCCGGGAGTGAGGCCTGGGGGGCAGCAGGAGGAAGAAGGGGGAGAAGGAGGGGGAGGCTCCGGAGCCGCAGGAGATAGCTCAAAGAGCCGCATGCAGCTCCGGAGCCGCGGGTTGCCGACCCGTGGTCTAGATTATGTAGATATATTTTTGTATTTATAAAATTTATCCAGATCATGTAAGCTTATTACCTAAAAGGTACATTACCTTATCTGGTCTTCCATCAGCATCTTTTAGCTGAATATAAGGCTTTTTTCTAATACGATTCAAATCCTCATGCAAACCATCTAGAAGAAAGGCCAGCAATTCTTGGCAGTCTTGTTGCTGATATCCTGAAAACTGGGGTGCAAATCGTCCTACCTGTGTCTGGGGAATAAAATATTTTTATAGTGGAGTCATATGACATAATGCAAAGGAATTTTTGTTAAATCAAGGAAAAATGTATTTTTATCTGATGGGTTTTAAAATGTATAATTGTAATACTGTGAAATAGGATTGAGGAAAAGCAAAGGAGTCACTGCTGCAATTTATAGGAATCCCTGTTAAAACAACAACAACAAAAACAAGCAGGTGCTGTTTTCAAGGGCCTATTTTATTAATATATCTACATTTTTTATTTTTAATATTTTTATTGTTTTGAAGAATCATATAATTGAAAGAAAATTAAACATTCTAGGATCCAACTATGTTACACTTACCTTAAAAGCTCTTGGAGTGACATAGCTGTATTTTCCTGACCACATCTGCTTGATGAGCTCTGCATAAGATTTTGCAATTTCACCTCTCATTCCTAATGGATTGTCATAGTTTAGCTCTTCTTGATATTTATCATTAAGGAAATATTCTGTGAGTGGAGGTGTATTGCTGAGACACTAAAAATGAATGAGTAAAATTAAATACTTTTGTATAATGCATAGTAATAGAGCCTCTCAATGCCATCTTCAGTTTTTTCATACTTACTTATCAAGTCGCCTTTTTTCTTTCCTAGTCCGTATATTGATTTAGTGCTACAAAATTATTTTAGTAAAGAGTCAGTAGACAACTACTTTTCCCAAGTCCACAATATCTTTACCAATTAATCTTTATGCCTGAGCCATCAAGGTTGAACCATATTTATTGCTGAAGATTCTTGAGAGGATGTTTCTAGGAGATTTAAATTTCTATGTCAAGGTTTTCTTTACAATGGCTTAGGATTTTGTGTCTGAAAAGATTACTAGTCACAAACACATGCTTCATTTGGTTTTCTTGATTGGACGGAAGAATGGTAATAAAACAATGAGAAATTAATATCTAGCCTCTGTCATGATTGAATGAATCCTATTAAAACACCTACAGTTTTTCTACCCTGTAAGGATGGAAAGCCTATTAGATCAGACTATTTTGAGATTATTTTAAATTAATGCAGAGATGGATAATTTGTGGTTTACTATTAGGCTCCAATGCCAATCAAAACAATAATATCATGCAGGTAATCAAGTTCCTTATGCTAGGCTGATTAATATAACAGAAAATAGAAGCTCTGGAATATTTCTCATGGAACGGTGCTGCTCTATTTGTGTTGATAATTGGAATGCAGCTGGAGGAATAACTTGTGCTGTTCAACTGAATTCAAATAAGAGCTAGTTATTAAACCCATTTTATTGGAATAATGGGGACTAGTGAGTTTTTCCATGATTGCATTTTCTCAGGATAGAAATATTAAGTATTTTAAAGGCTACTAAAATTAGATTAGAGGTAAAGATGATAGAAAATTATATGGCTATATGTGACAAGAGGATTATGTTGATATACTGTAAAACTGTTCACAATAATTGCAATTTGGATTCCACAATTATGCAGTCTCAATAAAAAAGATCATCCAGATTAATCTTATTAGATAACTGTTGATTAAAACTATGAGTATTTGACCTTTATCAAGATGCTGTATAATATCTAATAAGGGTTTGATTGCACTTGAAAGTTCACCTGTTTTCAGAGAAAAGGTGATATCAATCTCTTTAGAGAAACTAATAACAACAGTAACAACCACCACAAAACATGGACCTAGAAGGCAACCAGAGATCTGTTGTCAATATCTGATTCCAGGGAAGGTGCTTGAGCAAGTGATTGCTTTTCAGTTCAGCTCTTGGTTGGGTTTGAGACATTAAACAGTGGAGAAATCATTGGCTGATTTTCTTGGAAATTTCAGAAGTTTTAAATAAGATTAGAAATTCTTCCATAAGTCTTGTGAGCATACTACTTCTACTATGTTTGAAGATTTTTTTCATATACAACTGAAGGCACCAAATACACCAATACTTGTTCCTATTTTCCCCACAACAACATCCCTATGAAGAGAGTTGGGATAGTAAGAGTGTATCTGGTCCAAAGTCACTCAACTGGTTTTTCATATCTAAGGCGGGATTAGAACTCACACTTTCCTCGTTTCTAGGCCAGCATCTTAACCACTATACCACGTTGGCTTTTTCTAATTTTTTCCCCAGGTTAAATGTCATCTATCCCTAGACAGATGCCCAGTTTCAGAAGACGGCACTGGTAAATTATTGCTCTGCCCTTTCCTGTTATTCTATAATGTTTTACAGGTAGTCCTTGCTTAACGACCATGTGTTTATCACATGTTTGAAGTTGTGATGGTGCTGAAAAAAATGACTTACGACTGTCCTTGCCCTTATATCCATCGCAGCATCATTGCAGTCAAATGATTGTGATTCAGGCACTTTGCAACTGTTGCACATTTATGATGGTCTTATCCTGCAGTTATGTGATCGCCATTTACGACCTTCCCAGCTGTCTTCTGACAAGCAAAGTCAATGGGGAAGCTGGAAGGAGGTCACAAGTTGCAGTCATGTGATGTCTCACTTAACTGCAGCAAAAAGGTCATAAAATGTGGTATGGTCATATGATGCCTCACTTAATGACATCATTTAATGACAAATTTTATGGGCCCTATTGTGGTCATAAGTCAAGGACTACCTGTATAGAGTTATATTGTATTCCTCATATTACCTATGAAACTGATGGCCTAGGTTATTTGGAGTTATGGAAACAATGCACATCTATCTCTTCATATCTGACTAGGGTAAAAGCTGAGGTGAAAACTTTTGAACTGAGACTCAACTACACCCACCAAATGAAATATACCAGATGCAATATAGCTGTCAGCTTTACTTTCCTTTGTAAGTATTTTGTTTTTAAAGGTTCTCCTTTCTGTTTATTATTTTCTTATGCTCCTGGTCTTTGGCTCTGTTTTTAAACAGTTTTTAATTAGTGGGTATGATAGAAATTATAGAAAAACAATAAATAAATATCAAAGAACCAAGTCACAGCCAAGCAAGATTCTATAACTATTTGCCTCTTACTAATATCCCCTATAAAAGCATTTAAAATCACAGAAATCAATGCAAATTTGAAATTCTGATAACACTGCATGAGCAAAACTCCCTATTAAAAAAACTCCCCATTCTACCAGCAGTCTCCATTTTGAAAGCTTTTTATGTACAATGAAGTAAAATCTTACTTAACATGAAACACTTACTTGAATTGCTGAATTCATGAAACATGTATTTCCCAAATTACTTAGACCACAAAGACCGGGCTGTTCATTGTGTCTTCCTGGCTCTGAGTAGTCATAATTTTTATAAGCAGTGTATGAAGGAAGGCAGTAGTTTGAATTTTTCATGCTGGAAGAAAACATATTTACCTTGTAATTACATGAACTATAGCTGTCTAGCTTAAATGCATATAGCTGAAATATTTATACTCTGAATTTAAACACAGAAACAATAAAAATTATTTGAACCCTTTTCAACTTTTAATTTAAAAAGTAGTATTTTTTTCAATATTTCAGTTGAACAGTTAAAATGTTTGGCACAACCAGCAATATAGTATAGTTAAATTGTGCTACTGTTAAATACTAAAAGCTGGAAATAGCAATACTTTAGCAACAGGTGAGACAAAAATTTCCAAGGATATCATAAATTGCTAAATACATTTTAATTCTGTTTTTAGATTAACCACTATGCCAGCAAAAATCAAAGCAAACAGCATGGGATAATAAAGGCTCCATACAGAACCTTTATTTTAATTTGTTTTATAATTTCATATATCAAGATATACAGATATGACTTCCGGTGGCTCGGCGGCTGCCGAAGGAGGCTTTCTGACAGCCCCCCGTCCGGGACTGCGTAAAAATCGCCAAAACAGCGCATATCAGCTGTTTGGCGGTCTGAACCTTCTCTCCGGGCAAAGGAGAGAAGGAGAGCTTACTCTGAAGTAGGAGTTGAGTTCCCTAGTCTCCCTGGGGGCTCCCAGCGAGGCAAAGGTGAGAACTCCTCCGGAGCTCAGAGTTCCTCCGCAGATCGGGATATCTCCGCTATTTAGCGAAGCCAGACGCCGTCTCCACCTCTGATGTTTTTTCTGAATTTAAATGTGAGTAATTTCAACAGACGGAGCTGTCTAGGAAACTTGGACTTTTTATAAAGAAATTATAACTTTGACTCAGAAGAATAAAGTACTCTTCTCAAATGACTGAAATCGAAAGTTAACTTTTAGGGGGAAAAAATGGCTGCGGCTTAGCCGCTTCTTTGTTCTAAAGAGACACTTTCATTTTCCTTCCGGTTGTGGATTGCTACATTGTAAAGACTGTAAAGATTTCTCAAAAATTAAAGAAAAATTGAAGAAAAATCTGCTTGACTTCTTGCTGCATTGGACTGTATATTAAGACTTTTTTCAAACTTAAGAATGGCTTCTAAACGAGTTGTAGCCTCTGCAGCACCTAAGCCAGCTGTTTCTTCTCCAGCTGTACAGACTACGCATCAGAGAGCTAAAACTCCTCCACCCTCTCCTCCACCTTATATTACTTTAAAGGATTTGCAGGACTCTTTGATGCAGATGTCTAAACAAATTGTGCAACAAATGAGAGTGGAGACAGAAGAGCTTCTTGCTAAAAAGAATGATGAACTGTGTGAGAACATGTCTCAAATTTTTCAGGGCTTTGCTTTTCATATGGATCGTATAGAGGCGCGTGTGGAGGAAGTGGGAGAAAAAATGGAAGGGATGGAGGAGAGAATGGAAAAAGTAGAAGAGAGTATAGAGATTGCTCAAAATGATATTGTAATGACACAATTCAGAGAGATGGAACATGCAATAAGAATCAGAGGCTTGAAAGAGGATGCACAAGAGAAATTGAGGGAAGAGGTATCAGCTGCCTTAGCGTTGGTTTTTGACTGCGATCCTGAAATTATTTATGGAGAAATAGAAAAAATATTTAGAGTCAATTCATGGGTCGCACATCAGAGAAAACAGCCCAGGGATGTTGTTGTTGATTTTTCTAGAAAAACACGTCGAAATGAAATTATACAGGCCTTTTACCAACAGAGATTTCAGATTGCTGCTCAAGATATTATACTTTTGAAAGAAATACCTTCAAAAATTTTAAGAAAAAGAAAGGAATTTGCTTTTCTAGCTCAAGAGTTGAAGAAGCAGCAAGTGCCTTTTAGATGGGAAATACCAGTTGGAATGGCTCTAACATATGCTGGGAACCATTACAGACTTAACACAGTACAGAAGGCTAAGCATTTTTATCTAACGGTTCTGAAAGCTGATTCATCTTTTACATCACCAGTTAAAGGAACAGAAGAAGGAGTGGAACAACTGATTGTGGATTTGCCTGGAGCTATGTCGCTATCTGCAGGAGATTTCAGAACTTACAAATGTTGGAGGCAAAGGAGGATCCAAAAGATCAGAGAATGACACGTGCAGCTCACAAGCGTAAGGAAAGAGAACAGCAGAAAGAGGCTATGCCCCAAATATGTCCAACTACTTCGGAGCCAGTGGGAGGGGCTAGACCTAAAAGATCTGTCATGATGGATCTGCAAGGGATGCTTCAGAAGCTTCAAAAGCCAAAGGATGGCTAAATTAATAAATTTAAATGTTAATGGATTGAACTCACCACAAAAAAGGAGGAAAATATTTTATTATTTGAAGCAACATAAGAACGATATTATATGTTTACAAGAGACGCATATTACACTAAAAGATCAAAAGTATTTGTTTAATCCTAAATTGGGTTTACATTTTGTGGCTTCTGCCCAAAAGAAAAAAGCGGGTGTAGTTCTTTATGTCAAGAAGGAATTGATGCCAAAGTTAATAGATGCTGATGCAGAAGGAAGATTTGTGTTTGTTGAAATTACATTGAATGGGAAAAAATGTCTTCTTGTGGGTTTATATGCACCCAATTTATATCAACAACAAAAGCAATTTTTTACTCTCTTACATCAAAAGATAATACAACTGGATTATAAATNGCCAGATGCAGCTCCCACCTCTGCTGTTGGAAGGTATTTGGACTTAAATTTTAAGCAGACGGAACTAAACAGGAGGTTTGGATTTACAGTGGACTGTTTGTGACTTTGACTCTGAAATATACTAACATCTTCTTTATTTTGTGGTGATTTAAAGTGAGAGAAAATGGCTGCGGACTTGCCGTTTCTCTGGAATACTTTCATTTGTTTTTTCTTTACTTTCACTTTTTTTTTGGCTACTGACTGGAAAGAGATACATTGTTACTTCTCCGGCTTTGGAAAGTTTTAGCTGCAATGAATTTGTGGTGTACACTGGCTGGTGATATTAATACTGCTATCCTTTTGGATTAATGAAGTATATTTAAAGAAATTTGGAAGTTTTAAAATGGCTTCGGATCTGAGGAAAAAAAAAAGAGTGAGAAAGAAATTTTTCTTTTTGGTTGCTGAGTGGAACTTACTGAAAATGTTTTTATCTTTCATTATGAATGACCTACAGAATGTTTTGATGCAAGCAGTCAAGCAATATAGTGTGGAAGTTAAAGATCTATGTCTTAAGAGATTGGAAGAATCATATGGAACTGTGGCTTCTGCTCTCCAGAAGTTTATAGTTCCAGATTATATTGAGCAACGTGTGGATAAAGTATGTGAAGAGGTTGAAGAAGATGTCATGGAAATATCTCAAAATGATATGCCATATTATGGAGATTTGGAAAGTGAAAAGTTTGAAAAGCTGGGAAAAGAAGCGGTAATAGATTTGGTTATGGTTTGGGTGTACCTCCCTAGTGAAATTTTGAGAAAAAAGAGTTTATATAGAATCCATTTATGGGTCATGCACCTGAGAAAACCAGCTGAAGATGTTGCCGTTTGTGCCTTTGGAAGAAGTTTACAGGCTTACTACTTGCAAAAATTTTGGATATGTTATGTAAAAGGTGGAAAATGAGGTTGATTTTGTATTAGTGATGTGAAAATGAATGAAACTGGGGAGAGATGTAAAATGGAGAGCTGGGTAAGAAGGACTGTTTTTGAAGCTTATATTTTTAAAATTTTGGATTAGCAATATAAATAAGATGAATGAAGTAGATGATATATAATTATAAAGGATTCATGATTATTGTAATGAGAAATGGTAAAGTTTAATCTTTAGACATTTGGATTGGGGGAATGCTCTCCAAAGTTTATAGTTCCAGATTATATTGAGCAACGGGTGGNAAAAGTATTCTTATAAGGTAAATTTAAAAATCCCAATGTGGGCTATTCCGGAACATGCAATACAAGGAATTATAAGAGGTGTAAAATTAGAAGGAATTGTTTATAAAGATCTACTCATGTTAAGAGGACAGGACTGGCAAATTAAATCATTGGATGAGTTAAGACAGGATAATGTACTCCAGTCCTGGTTTTTATATTTTCAGTTGGTTGAGAGATGGCATATAGATCAAAAATTGGGTTTAACTGTAGAAGATGTGAACTTGATAAAACAGATTAAAGATCAAAGTAGAGCCCATATCAGGAGAATATATAGTGTTTTGATAGAATTTGATTTGGAAACAGAACTAGTTAAAGATTGTATGATTAAATGGGCTCAAAATATTCAAGAACCAATAATGTTAGAAACATGGGAAACAATTTGGATAAGAAATGTCAAGTTCACCCAAGCACAGAATTTAAGGGAAAATTTTTATAAAATGTTTTATAGATGGCATTTGGACCCTCAAAAGTTGTCTTGCATGTATCCGAACCTGCAACCAAAATGTTGGAGATGTGGCAATTTGGATGCAACTTATTATCATATTTGGTGGACTTGTAGGGATGTTAAAGCCTTTTGGATTAAGATTTGGTGGAATATTCAACAGATCTTTAAGAAAAAGATAAAATTTACACCGCAGTTATTTTTACTGGGTATTATGGATAATTTGGATCAAAAAGAAATGAAATTGATGTTGTATTGTATAACAGCAGCAAGGACCTTAGTTGCTCAAAATTGGAAAAAAAAGATGTTACCAACTATGGATGATTGGAGACAGAAAGTATCGTATTTTGCAGAGATGGCAAAAATATCCGCGTACCTGAAGGATCATTCTCAGGAGAAATTTATCTCAATGTGGAGAAGATGGATAGATTATATTCAGAGAAAGTATGAACTGAATAATTATCATGTAGCTTTTGATTAAAAATTTTGAACAAAAATATATACAACAAATATTGATAATATTTAAAAATTTTGTATGTATTTTAACGTTATTTTAGAGTCACAGTAAGTTTATACTAGTGTGTAGTAATAATGATTAGTTTTGAATAGAATTGGATTATTGTGTGTTTATTTCCTGGATTAGCTCTGGGAAGTCCTGGGGGGGGAAGGGGGAAAGGGATAGGTTTGTATTGTAGATTTATATGTATTGTAGATTTTTTAAGGAGGTGTCCGGTGGGTACCCCAACTGCACCAGACGGGATGGTTGAGAGAGGAAGGGAGGTAGGAGAGAGGGAGGAAAGAGGAGAGGTTGTAGGATTGGGAGGAGGAAGGTGTGGTAAGTGAAAGAGGGGGGTGCAGGGGGGGGACACCGGACACTTCTGTGAATGTATTGATTAGTGTTATTTTTTTGGGGTTGATATTGTGATAGAAGATTTATGTTTTTGTTTTTAATTGAAAAATCAATAAAAATTTTAAACTGGAAAAAAGATATACAGATATGATCTATTTATAATAGGAAATAAGAAAAAGTACAAAACATAAAAAGCACCACATTCCTCAGAATCTAACCTTTTTTTGCTTGCATATGTATTTATAGGCATATTTATATATGCAAGAGTCAGTGAAATTTACATGACATATGCACAAGTAATTGTATCAACATTCTAGTGATAGAGATGTGACTTGTGAAACTGAAAACAGCGGGTTACACAGGTAGTAGCTGCATCTGTGCACATATTTTTAAAGGAAAAAAACTCATTGTGCTAGTATACAAGTATATTAACTATCCAACACTGAAGATGTAATAAATTTAATCTATATACATTTCCCATTTAAATCTGAATATTAGAATTAATATTGCTTAAACAATACAAAAATAAAAACCATCTTCTAATTCTACATTAGAACCATGACTATGACATAGCAGACTGGAGGTTATTACTATAGAGCAATACTTTCACAACTTCATTTGTTTTTTCTCCAGGGAAAGCATGTTAATCACTGTAAATGGTTACAAAGTAGCATAGTTGATATATGATATACAGTATGATAAATTATAAATTCCCATAGTAATTCAGCATGGGATCTTTACTATGCAGGCTGTCAATTAAATATACATTACATGACCTGGAATTCATGTATACAGTTTGTTTTTACTGGCGCACACTCTGCACTAAACTTTTTTATTCAAGGTAAAACACTGATACATCATTAGAGATATAAAAACTATAATACTGAAAATAATATAAACTTGAAACAGATGTGACAAAAACATTGTTAATATATTCGGATGAGAGACTGGGGAAATTAATTGAGGTACTGAACTTACAAAATAATATATATAAAAATAGAATTTCTATAAATTTGTGAAGAAACAATTTTAGTAGTAAAGCAGAAGTAATGCTTAATATTTATGTTTTTAACAACCTCCCCTAATTTTTCCCAGTACTTTACATATAATATTATGAAAACAAACAAGGGAATAGTCAAATCAATTTTGGCAAGGGTTCCTATCTCTTTTGGTGGATTTTTTTTGAGCACCATTGCTCAAATTTTTGTGCTCTCTTTAAATTTTTATTTACAATATCCACACAATTGATAACATTCTTGATAAAAGAATAGTTAGAGAAGGAAGCTTATTCATAATTGATGAAATTAGTGAAACAGAAAACATTGTTTTAGTGTATCAATGCTGTAAAAGTGAGCATCCTGGAAGTATAGAGGTTGTACTACCCGTATTGCTGAAATAAAACAGTAGTACAACAAATTCAGAAGGTAGTTTGAAGTTAAAGATGCTAATATATATAAAAGTGATGATTTGTAAAAGCAATCCATCAAAATTGCATGCTTCATAATTTTCTTTACATTTTATCTGAGTTTATATATAGAAAAACATTTAATCTGATACTTTGGAGCACAAGAAAAATAAGTACGTTTAGGGAATTTCAGCCTATTTTACTCATTAAGTAGGGTGTTCTGAGAATTTGGGGGTGTGAGGAAGAGAAGCATGATATCATATAGGCATAAATAGTGTAACTGTCAGAACCCTTTTCCCCTTCTTTTCCTTATTCCCTTTCCCTTTCTGGGTTCTGTCATTCTATTGGGGGGAGGCGGCTTATGGATATTCTGCAGTGTATTTCCTTTTCTTTGTTCTTTCCTCTTTGATATATCTCTTTCTCGGGGTGAGAAAGGAATGTGCCTCTGGCCATCTGCCTTATCTCCAGGCAGAGGGAAAAAGCCGCAGAAAGACTTGACAACCTTGAGAGCGGTGCCTTATCGGTTCATTCCCACAATTTGACACCTTTGGATTGGCTCTGTTTGAACTGACCGGATGGACAGTTGGGGTGGGGTTTGGATTCCCTCTTTGAATGTATCGTTTCGCGCGGGAAACCCTCAGATCCTGCCTTACTTTCCTGTAGTCAGCATCCCCCAATAAAAGTTCCTGTTGAAATGATGCACATTTCAAGAGTTCTGCTTTCTTGGGAGGTTTAGCTGAGGCAGGTCCTTACAGTAACAAGGATTTTTTTTCTTAAATGCAGTGTTCTTCAATTCCAAGAATCAAATATTACAACTGAGCAGGAAAAATAATGTGTTAAGGCACCTAGAGTCACTGTTCAGAACGAGATGGATGGTAAACTAATTTAATAAATAAATACATGAATAAATTAATATGAAGCAAGTTCTATAAACAGAACACCAATGGAGAAAAATAGTGTTTTAAAACAATTACTTTTTCTAAGCTGATAAGTAGTAAAATACAATGGCTGTATGTTTTAAATTGTTTATTAAAAACATATCTAAGTCACTATTAGGTAAAAATAATATTCTAAAATAGATCTGTATTTATGACTGACTAAAGCAAGATTTTAATTCCTATGAATTTAGTACATTTCAGTTCCAACTACGTTCAAGACAAACAAAAGGCTAATCACAATGTACCACAAATGGATCCCTTACATTTCTACTCAAAAAGTCAGCCCAGATGAGTTCAGTGGAGTTTTCTCTCAGCAAAATGAATATATCCTATTTTTTTTAAAAAAATAAAGAATTCGGGTTGGTGGAGGAAACTGTAACTTACTAAAATGCCTACCTTTCTTCCAAGCAAACTTAAACACCTGTTTTTAAAAGTTAATACATAACAGGAGATGAAGTAAAATTACAGTGATTGTATATGAAATCAACTTCTAGGATTGCATCAGGATATCAGTACAGCAGGAAGCACAGAATTTGCCAAAACAAACAAACAAACAAACTATTATTTCCAAGTTATTACTTAGCTAAACTTTAGATAGAAGGATGTACTACAAAATCTACGGTAGATAAACCAAGGAAGCCTCTGTGTTTTAGAATTACAATACTGTATTAACTGAATTAAGAAGCTACTCTTAAAATGCATTTTAACTTAAAATAAAAAGTACCTGCCTGCTAGTTATCAGACAATTTCATCAAATGGAAATACAATGTTTCTAAAATTTTATATTACATTTTAAAATGAGATTTAAGCAGATGACAACTGTCTCATAACTTTAGATATTGTGCTTTTTCATATAACATTATCACTATTCTAATAAAAGGATAACATCAATTGAGGCCTGGTTTATATACATCAAAGAAATAATTTTTTAAGCTTATGACACACACACACACACACACACACACACACACACAGTACAATAGACTACAGTTAAATACATGTATTTGTCTAACAGAGAGTTGGGGCTACTCACAATTAGTAGAAGCACAAATGCCACTTCGCCCCATACGAAAACTCCCTTTTCATAAATGCAGTATTTAACTGGAAGATATTGTATAAAATATTTAGAAATATTACTATGAAACACTAAAACATTTTAACAATTGAGTAATATCCATAAATTTTGAGAAGCAACATTGCATTTGTAACTACTTTTCCAGTATGCCTATCAGAAAGCAATAAGCTTAGCAAAAAGCGCATATATACACACACATACATACTACATATATATATGTACGTATGCATGTGTATGTATGTATGATGTGTGTGTATGTATATATGTATGTATGTATGTGTATATATATGTATGTATATATATGTGTGTGTGTGTGTGTATATGTGTGTGTGTGTGTGTGTGTAATGAACTGCAGAAAATACTTCTATTACAACAACTCCAAATGTACTAAACTATTTGATAGACAATGTTTTAAAACTATTGTAGTATATTATATTTCTGTTAGGGAAATAATTAGAAGTATCCTATAATAATATGAACCAGATGCATAGCTTTTATTTGTCATTACATATGACGCACATACTTTAAAAAAAAATCACAAAAATTTCAAACCTTCCCAAAACTAGGAGAAATCCCTAAACTAGGAGAACCTGATCATGAGTATTGTTGCATGTGGTCCTTTCTTGCTAAAGAATTTTTTTAATATAATGTTCTCAAATCAGAAAGTGATGCTACAAAGCATGTTACGGTTCCTAGGTTCTGAAAAGCAAAGCAGAAATACTTCTCTCGACTCATTAGGGTTTTTGTGTTCTTTAAGTCTTAGTGCCCCCTACATTTCCATAGTAATAAATTACATCCAAGTTGTTTTTCTAGATTTGTACACAATCTCTTTTTGAAACTTTACTTGGATGTTTAAAATTAAAAGTTCTTTAAGATACAGTGCTTACTTTCTGTTGTTGATGTTGTTATAAATATTTGATAGAGATGGAGAGATCTTTGGTAAAGTTGGAAAATTGGATGCACCTGGGGACCTTTAAAAATATGAAAATGTTAAATTAGATAAAAATGTTGAGATTGTAAAATTAATAATGAAAAAGGAAAAACTAACATGAAGCAATGTATGTGAATAATAATAAAAAAGGATTCTTATGATCAAAATAACATAAACCCAAGTACTCTAACTTGCCCATTTTCAAAAAGTATTTAAAAAATGATCACATTTAAAACTCTCAACCAAATCATAGACATAAATGGTCAGCCAAATCCTAACTTAGGCTTTAGCAAAAAAAATGACCTTTATCAAAAATTAGTTTTGACGCTAATGAAAGACATCACTTTTAAAAACAAGGTTTTTTATTTTATAATGAAATGGAAGTTATTAATGAAGGTGCATCAATATTGTCAAAAAACTGTAGAAATAGGTTTAAGAGCAGCTTAAAGCACTTGTTCCATTTGTATTTTAGAACAGTGATTCCTAATGTGTTTAGGTGTCAGGATCCGGTCATATTTCCTTTCTATTTATCTCCTCCGATCTAAAATCAATCCTTACCCTTTCCTGGGTCCTGCCATACTCCCAAGGGGGAGGTTTTTTATTACTTTCACTTCCTCTATTCACTACAACGTAATCTTTTGTTTATTTCGCCTCTGCTAACCATTACAATGTAACCATTTGCCTCTTATCCTATGCACCTCTGAACTTTCCTCCTCACGGGGAAGCTAGGAAGGGGGGGGGGAAGGGTTGAAAAGATCCAGCCTTCGGAATCTGGGTTATTTATCTGTCATCAAAATAAGGTGTGAGGAGCTATTGCATGATCGTGTACAACGGAGCCGGATTGATGTTATCTTTCCTGGATTTAACACCTAGAAATATGCCGGTCTGAATCGCCCGGAAGAACTGCAGGGTGGGGGGTACTTAAGGACACTTTAAAACATCGATTTGTGAAGGAATCCCTCAGATCCTGTCTATCATGCCTGCTATCAATTTCTCTTAATAAAAGTTCCTGTTGGAAGAAACCGTTTCCAAGAGTTCTGCTTTCTTAAGATGTGGATTGAAGTGCTTCCTTACATTAGACAGGATCTGCAGTAATAGTCAACCTGGAAGGAAGAACCTTGCTGGGGGACTTTGCAAAAAATACAATGTCCAGATGACAAGGCAAGGAAGGGAGAACACCCCATGGAGAGGGAGCCTTCCCCCCGACTGAAAACCTGCCAGCTATCGGGATCTGAAATGTCATACTCCTCAGAAGAGGTGGTGGAGACGCGTAAGCACAAACCTCGGTGGTCAATGGGCATTGGAAAGAAAGGCGCGTGGGAAAAGAGATCGAGAAAGGTGACCCTGAGACGGGGAGTCCACCAACCAGAATGGAATCAGGAGATGGAGAAATCCCTGCATGTTAGTGAAGAGGAAGGAAGTTGGGCACAGCACTCGAACTGGATCCTAGAGAAAGTTATCGACCTGAGGAAAAGAACCCTTGGCTCTCTAGGGGAGCCCCGCGGCTGCACCAGCACCTGGAGCTGCAACTGGAGAGACCCTGAGGGGGAATTGGAACCTGTAGTCCCGGGGACGTCCGCTGATCCAGTAGTGACCATTTCAGTGACCCCCACTCCCCGCTGACCCGCAGATGGTGATCCGGATGGAAGACAATACCACTGACGGCAAGGGCACCGATCCATTCAAAGACTCCCGCCGCTGTATGCGAAATTCAAGGGGGAGCCGACATGCTTGGGGTTTTTCCTAAACCATCCTCAGCTACATGGAAGAGTACGGGTGGCACATCCCTAGCGACAAAGCCCGTATCCATATCGTGCAATCCACTCTGGACAGGACCGGCCGCAGATTGGGTGGTGAACTTGCATGACTCCAATGCCCCAGAGCTCAACGATTTCAACCGTTTCATGTCCTCCCTGAGAAGGCGATTTGAGTAACCCCTGGCTGATCGCAAAGCCTGAGAAAGAATCAAAACAGTGAGACAAGGCAGATGCCCGGTAGCCGAATATACGCAAGAATTCCGGATCATTGCCAGCAAGCTGAACTGGCTGGAAGACATCCTTCTTAGCCATTTCAAAGACAGCCTAAATTACGACCTGTATGACACTTGCCTGCCCCAGGGGGACCCACACCAACTCAACGAATGGTATGTCCTGGCAGAGGAAGCAGAGATCGACCTACTGAAGAGGCACCGCCGAGAAAAAACATGGGGCCTCTCGCTGCCTGAGCCGACGCGCGAGCCAGCGAAGCCACCAGCTACGGCCAAGAAGCCAATGAGCTGTTTCAAATGCGGGAGATAGGGGCATCGGGCCGTAGAATGCCACTTGAAAGCCCTTCAGCACAACCCAGGAATCACCGATCATTGACCAGGAAATCCGGAAAGTCCCCAGCCAAGCCAAAAGAACCCGCCATGAGAGCGATAGAGGCTGTGAGTCCACAATCCCTGCCCAACGTGGGAAAAGAACTTCTGTCTTCTGAAGTTTGTTTCTGCAAGCGAGATGAGCAGGGGCAGGAATCGGCATGTGCTCAGAAACGCTGACCTCGTGCTCCTGCCCATTTCACTTGCTGGCAGAAACAAAATTCAGAAGACACGGAAAGGCGTCAAAAGCTGTTGATAGATAGAAAGCAAGCGGAAAGCAAGCAAGTGAGCTGGGCAGGAGCACGAGATCAATGTTTCTGAGCACACGCCGATTCACACCCCTGCCCATTCTCGCTTGCTTGCAGGGGTCCTGACCGACCTTCAATGGACAGGAGCAGGGAGGGCATAAAAGAACCCGGACGAGGCAATTGGAGTTTGGCCGCCGCTGCCGCCATCGCTGCTGTTGCTGAGCCACACGGCTGCTGTTCTTCTGCAGGGGGAAAGCGCAGGCAGCGGAGGAGCGCACGGGGGCGGGGAAAGAGCCGGGCTGCCAGACTCCCTCTGGTGCCTTGCGCACGGCCTCAGCCTCAGCCTCAGCCAGAGAAAAGCAGCTAGCGGGAAAGCAGCTCATTCATCGCTGCAGCCAGCCCCGAGGAAGAGCCGGCACAACCCTCAGACGAATCCCGCCTGGCTGCATTCTTTGCGGCCGAAAGAAGGGCTTTGATCCCGCTTCCCCTTCGCTCCGGCCGGGTCCGTGAATGCCAGATTCAAGAAGACGGAGGAAGGCTCACATATCTCCACCCCAAAACCCCCAGCTAGCCTGCTGGCCTTTTGAACCGCCCTGGGGTTAGATCTGGCATTCCCCTTCGCTCCGGCCGGGTCCGTGAATGCGAGATCTAACCCCAGGGCGGTTCGAAAGGCCAGCAGGCTGGCTGGGGGGTTTGGGGTGGATACATGTGAGCCTTCCTCCATCTTCTTGAATCTGGCATTCACGGACCCGACCCGGTGATTCAGCAAAGGAACCACCATCTAAGAAATTAAAACTGAGTGATGGAGGGAGGAAAGGACAATGAGAGGGAGAGAGGGAAAATGGAAGGGAGGGAGGGAAGGAGGAAGGGACAAAGAGGGAGGGAAGGAAGGAAAGAAGGAAGGAAGGAAAGAAGGGAGGGACAATGGGAGGGAGAGAAGAAAGGCACCCACCCCAGTCCCACCCCCCTCCACCAGAGACCCATGGATTCCCCCCACACAGGCACCCTGCAACCTGAGGGAGGGAGGGATGGACAATGGAAGGGAGGGAGGGAAGGAGGAAGGGACAAAGAAGGAGGGAAGAAAGGAAGAAAAGAAGGGACAATCTGAGAGAGGGAGGGAAGGAGGGCACCCACCCCAGTCCCACCCCTGCTCCACCAGAGACCCATGGATTCTACCCACATAGGCACCCTGCAACCTGAGTGATGAGCTGGCCATGCCCCCTGCCATTGACTCTGTCAAAAAGTTGCAAAATGTGATCACATGACCCTGGGACCGTGTGAATGTCATAAGTATGAATCAGTTGCCAAGCATCCGAATGTAAATCACATGACCCTGGGGATGCTGCAACAGTCATAAGTGTGAAAAATGGTCATGTCACTTTTTTCAGTGCCATTGTAACTTCAAACAGTCACTAAGCGAATTGTTGTAAGTCAAGGACTACCTGTACTTTATCATTTTTTTCCTTTTTTGGGCGGGGGATCCCGTTTTTGACACCTTGCTGGGCGAGTGGTGGTACTCAGATGTTGCCTTATCCTAAAAGTGGTACAATGGGTGAAAAGGTTTAAAAGCCCTGGCATATGGGATACGTTGGTCATTAATTATGTGGTGTCAGTTCCTTGAAGGGAATAAAATCCCTTTTCAGGTGTGGACAGACCACAAAAAACTGGAAGCCATGAGAACACCCAGGAAGCTCAACCCCAAGCAAGCCCGCTGATCCCAGCATTTTCACCAATTCCACTCTACACTCAAGCACTTGCCGGGGGGAAAGAGCTTCCTGGCAGATGCACTATCTCACATGCCCCAGTATAACAGCACGCGAGCCACCGATTCTAAACCACTTATGGCGGAACCACAACTGGCAGCGCCAGTAACTACTAGAGCCCAGGCTAAATTAAAACCGTAGCTGGGTAGCCAAACTGGAATCGAATTCCGGAAAACTTTGGAAACAGATGAATGGTTCCAGAAAAATAGACACATGTGCACAATTAAAGACGGATTGCCTTGAGTTGGGGAAAAATTATATATACCAACCACCCAGAGGGGCACATTCATGCAGCTGTGCCATGACACAAAATCAGTAGGGCATTTTGAATTTGTAAAAACATTACATTTAATTAAAAGGCAATTTTGGTGGTCATCCATGAAAAAGGACATAGAAAATTACGTGGCCAGCTGCCCAACATGCGCAACTGCTAAGAGGTTGCAAGGGAAATCGCTCGGACTGTTACAACCAGTGCGACTCCCTCAGCCCCCTGGAGGGAAATAGCCATGGATTTTATAGTGGAATTACCATAAAGCAATGGGAATACTGTCATCTGGACGGTCACAGACTTGTTTTCCAAACAGGTGCACTTTATCCCTTGCCAAAAGATTCCCACCGCAAAAGCCTTAGCGAAACTTTTCGTGCAG